ACATTTCTTCTGTGCTGATCTGGGCTGGTTTAAGCTGGTTTATGTTGGTCTGGTACTGGTTTAGCTGGTTGACCAGCATCTGAAACACATATTGTAGCGTGTTCAAGAAATGTTTTTACATGTTAAAGTAGAAGGTTATTTATTCTATAGCATTTATTCTATGGCACAAAAAAATCTGCAAGCAAAACCCATTTCAGAGCAACTGACTCATAATAGCAGTTTCGTTAGCTAGCTAACAAACTAGCTGCAACTAGCTAGCTGACCAGCGTCTTTGCTTTTTTGTTTTGTACGTCTTTCTTACAACCTTCTTGAAAAAAACAGCATAGACCAGGATGCGTTCCTTCCTGATCTGGTTTTGGTTAAGCTGATCACCCAGCATGATCTTGCTGGTTGACCAGCATACCAACATCCAAGACTCAACATAAGCTGGTTTTGTTGGTGATCAGCATATTAGCTTCCATTGCTGCTAACCAGCACATCAGCATCCAAAACTCAACTTATGCTGTCTTTTCTAGCAGGGAAACCAATGATAAGGCCACTGCAATAGCTGTTCGGCTTGTTAACAACGCAGCTACATAGCATTGGCAGCACTTTGGCCTCGTCAGTGATTACAGCCATGGAATTTACAGTCTGATGCAGGGGTGCCCAAACCTTCAGTCTTAGGGGGCCGAGGGCTAACAACAAATAGCATATAAACAATGATGGTAGATGAGATTTTTAAAGATATGTTTTAGAGCATATAACTATATTTTGTTACTACAGTTTTTTGCTTTCCAAATCTGATTTTCAAAGGAAAACAATATAAAACTGTTCTCTCTTTGTGTGAGGGGGCAGGGTTAAGGTTCATTTCTGGGGGGCAAATCAAATGTCCTCATGGGCCACTTTGGGCCGCCCCGATCTAAAGGTGTAGCAGATTCATTTGTGTATGCTTCATTTGTGAATTAGACATTTTTGCTGTTAACGGTGGCGAAAGTAATGCAACAGTTTAAAAGCATCGAACAGCTTTTCAAAATGCAGTCAAGTAAAAGTCAAAGCTGACCAAAACTATTATGCTCATGTTAAATAGAAACATTCCAGAAATGAAGGACAGATCTCAACAGCAGGGGATTAGAAAGTGTAAAAGAAAATGTATCAGCTGTGGGCAGTTTCATTTTACACTGATATGAACGTTGGTTGGATGTTATACTTAACTGATCAGCGAGAAAAAAAGAAAATCTTCCAGTCTTTGAGATTTGAGATGAATGTTGAAGGTCTAGGTGAAAACCCAAGAAGTATAAAAAGCATGTTTTTTTTCATAAGAATGTCATTCATTTCAGTATCCACCCCCAACACAGCATGAGACCACTCACACACACACTTGGTGTGAAGGCAGTTTGAGAAGTGCAGAAAACAAAGAAAGGAAGTAAAGTACAGCTTCCTGTACCTCTCAGGCTACTTTTTCTCTCTCTTACATGTCATCTTATCTTAGTGTGCTAATTTATTCACGCTTCAGACAACATATAACGAGCAGATCTCAGAGGCAGAGGGTGAAAAAGTGTGTCAGGCATCTAAACCCACAGTGGCAGAAATAAACTTTCGAGTAGGCCTATAAAGTCGTAGGTGGGCCAACTCGGTATACGTAATTACCAAAAATGTTCTGCAATTTCATTACATCAGGCTATGGCCTATTCTTGAGCGCCATGCAGTCATAACGTACCTATTCCAACACTTCTGCTCTACACAGATACCAAACACGAACAAATTCACATAAACCCAACACCTTTCCTTCAGCGTGTTGTAGCTTTTTGTGCATGTAAACGTTCTGCAAAGTCACAAAGCTCAAAGTTCACTCAGGAGGGAGAAACTCTCTCCCACAGAAACCACTATTGAAAAGCGTGGTTGGAATTCCAGCCCTTTTCCTTTGTTACAAGATGACATCATCTTGTAGCACAATCCCCACTGCCTGCCTACCGGCGAGCTCAGCACGCCCTGCACAGCAGCTACTGGAGGAGGAAGAGTGTATTCAGTGTTGTAGCGTGTGGAGAAGACGGTGATCGGATTTTCAGGATCAACTCTGGATCAAACTGATACGGCAGAACCGACGCCGCTGGAGTAACAGCCACAGCGGAGTTTACAGCTGCTCAGGAGAGAAGGGTCTGTCTGCAGGCTGCAAGACAGGGGCGGAACATGGAGGGGTAGAACCGCTCTGCAAGCTGACTAAACAGAGCAGACTGGGTGAGCTGACCAATAAGCGCACACTGGGCTCATCAGGAGGCGGGGCTTAAAGACACAGGAGCTCTGACAGAGAGTTTTGGACAGAGGGTGAATAGAGATGTACAGTGTGAGAAAACAATGTTAAAAATAAAATTATGAACACTGAAAATGAGCACAGTTGGTCCCCATTAAATACCTACACCTAGCATCAATCATCATATGCTAAAGCATACTGGCACAGCTGAGATTCACAAAAAAAGGGAAAAAAAACAGCAAATTTATATTAAAAAAAAACCTTAGCATTGCAGGCGGGAATGAAAAACGTTTATGGTCCATTTATGTCTTACCTGTGATGAAGTAATGATAGACGGTTCACAAAGCACATGTCCGCATTGGTACTAAAAGAATATTGTAAGTACTAAAGAAAACAATGATGTTTTTACATTTGTTTTCTGCTTTGGGTAGAAAAGAACCTGTGTGGTTTCAGTAGTCACATGAAATTTTTAATTAAACTTATGACAAATCTAAATCTTTCAACTTCACTTTAAAAGAAATCGGAAAGATCTTTTTAAAAACAACATTGAAAAAAGAAGTATTATTTTTCAAGTTGAAATTTTGGGGTTAGGGTTTGGGACAGATAAGTACCTTATAAATAAGAATTTCGTATATATTTAACATATTATTTTATCTATCAATGCCTTGGGGTTCAAAAGATCAAAACATAAGCTTTGTAAATATGTAAGGTCTGAATAATTAATTTCTTTAAATTGTTTTTTATTACTGTGGAAACGCAGTTTGAACTAATTCGGTAGAACGGTCCATATAAAGAAATACCAGACGGGAGGTTAATTCTCTCCCCCCAGCAGCTCAACGTTTAAAACATGTAATCAGTCGGGTTCCATTACAAGCCCTGGTGCCGCAGCATCGCTCCACTAACAGCTGTTCCTGCCATTTTTCAAATGGTTTGTGCAGCACTTGAAGGATGGAGTGATTGAAGGTCCACACCAGTTCGTTTCTTTGATTTCTCAGAAACTAAGCATGCATTTCTCAGCCACATGCTACAAAAGGGGACAGCTGTCCTCGGCTGCATCCTGAGGGATTTGAGCAGATTTTTCAGGATGCACTTGCCATCGGCTACTGAGCTAATAGCTAACTTTGTAAACAGTCTGGTTTCTGAGACGTTTGAACACACAATACATAAACTTCGTGAATGATTGCTCTGTCTGGCGTAAGCGTCATGTTTAGAAAGAGAACTGTGGTGCATTGCTTGTTTTTTGTTAGCTAGATAGCTGGCATATCACTAACAAGCTAGGTAGTTTCAGTAATAAAGTCAGCAGTAATGTTTAACAGATATTTTGTAAAATAAAGCCCAGCATATTAAATGAGTTAGAGATTTTACATTTTTATTTTAAAGTATTTTATTGCTGATAAAACAGCACTCCATGCTAGTCTAAGCTGGTTTAGCTGGCCACACTGGTTGACCAGTATACCAGCATCCAAAACACAACAAAAACACTGGTTTTGCTGGTGATCAGACATGCTGGCCTAGCAGGGTGCACTTGCAACCCACTTTGCTGTTTCATGTTTGAAAAGGAAATTATGTCAGATTGCAGTAATATTTGTTTAAGTTCTGCTGCTGAAGTCCACATTTATGTCGACTTGACCCCTAGCCCCTCCGAGGGGGCATCTAACAAACTTCACTTGAGCTAATACAGAAACGGAACAGCCCTTAAGACGGCTTCAGGGATTCCCCCAAGGGGAAATAGTGGGGACAAGTTGACGAGGGCAGGTTAGTAACAGTATTAGGCCCAATTTCACCTCTCGCCCCTACCACTTAGTTTTGTGTTCACGCCTAGACGTAGGGTGTCCCGATTTTTGTTGAGATAGAGGGGTAGGGTGAAGTATTACGGCTACATGGCCCTCCAAACGGAGGTTTTTCGAAACAGTGTTATGAGAAAAAAATAAAAAAACGGCAAGATGGCTGAATAAGAGACCAAAGAAACTTTTCTACATTAAAAAATTACAACAACCATTTTATTATCTTAGTTTAATGTCGTTTCAGTGTATTATGGTCCTTTTCTTCATAACAAGCATAAAAATCACTAGCAGTAGTGCTAATGTCTTGGTAGCTAGCTAGCTAAATTTCCCGTTCCACCTTAAATGGTGTAGCAGTTACATTCTGGCACCTCAGGCATCAGAACTGCTGCTCTATTTAAGGTGGAACGGGAAAATTTGTATGTGAAGCTGGTGAATATCTGACTTCAGCTTCATATCACTGAAGAATTAGGGGTGGGCGATAATAAATAATTGCCCCCCTCTTTGAAGTCATATGATGCCCTAAATGTAACTAAAGCCCAGCAGTGAGGAGCTGAACTTTACCCTCCTCTGCTGTCACTGCAGACTGGCAGGGTCGCATACAGAGCAGCGCCAGTAGCTGTTAATGAAGTGATGTTCTTTTTATTTGAGGGTCTCATTTTATAGGAAAGATTTCAACCACTACCGCTTATAACTCAGTTCCAAGGGGCAAGGAGACACTCGAAAGCAAGGGGTAGGGGTAAAAACGTGAAATGGGACTGGGCCTTGTAATAGAGGACATGTCTGAAGGTGCTTGGCTCTACTTGACATCACACACAAAGTCCTTCTAATTAGCACTAATCACACTGAGCTCTCCTACAGCGATCGGGTGTCACCGGCTCTACATACAGCCTTAACTCTTAAGCACAGGCACTTCTGCACTACATACGTTCCCATTGGAATAGAGTCAAAGGCAGCGGAACAGCAAAAAAGCCCTCACACAAACACGACACTGAAGAAAGTTTAAGACTTTATTTTGTTCCTTTCACAGGAATTTTATACACAAGTTTAGCATTATAGCTTCTCTGGACTATGTGGTACATTCCGAAGCACTTCTATAGTACTGTGCTCCGCGTGATACAAACATTTTCTTGCCGCTATTAATAAAGCTCTGTTATTGCATGAATTTTCAATTTGAAATTAGAAACTACTCAAGTGAAAACCTGAACATTTTTAAAAGGATATAATTATCCATGTAATTTTTTCCTAAATTTCGATTATACACTACCATTCAAAAGTCTGGAATCATCGATTTTATTAATATAAACTGTGTTAGCTTTGTTGGTTAAAGTTAGCTAGCAATTTAGCTGTGTTGATGTCCGCTAGTGTCACTTTATCTGTGACAATCGAGGTTTAAAACAGTTGACGTCCACTAAAATTGATGACCCCACCTTGAATTTCCAGATTTCCTCATATTTCAAAAGTAGTGATCGAATTTTGAGGATCATAATTTGCTAAGAAATGACCATAAACTTACAAAGTATATTATTTAACACTTATTAATTTTTTGCCGTTCTCAACAATTATTATTTAAAAAATTAACAAAAAAAAAAAACTTTTGGTGTCCAGTTTATAATACTTGAATCTAGATTGTGTATCTTGTTAATTAATAAAATAAAAATTACTTATATGCCAATTCCAGACTTTTGAACGGTACTGTATATCCTTTATCATTCCATTTCTTCAGGAAATCAGTCCAACTATTCAAATATAAACTTTTAAAAGCTAAACTCGACAGGAGTAAAAACAAAAAGCAAACTTTAGTTCACGTATAGCTTAGTGGTATAAAAATCACTGCAGAATTTCCTCTTCAACTCCTCGAAAAAATATAATCATTTCTATATCATCACCAGCCACTTTGTGCAGTTACTATTTTTACAGATTTTCTAAAGCGTTTCGTCTTATCTCACTCAGAAAATGTCAAGCAAATATCATCAAATATCAGTAGAAGAAGTGGTGCTTGGACCCCTACAAATCAGTTAAAAGAACTGTAAAGAATATCCTTAATGAGAAACACGCATACATATACACTCGCTCTTTCTTTTGCACTTTCCCCTTATCGTTTCAGAAACATTCTACCTCTGAAAGAGTATTAGACATGCTTAAAGCTTAGAGAAAATTAAAAACCTCGAACACACTTTCACATTGTAGCTACAAAGGTACAGGAGGAAGGCCTACAAAATAAACAGATGAAAAAAACTTCACCACAGTGTGGTGGTGGTTTTTTTAAAAAAAAAAAGCTGCTGCTGTGTGAGAGAAGCTCAGTCGCTTCCTCCGTCTCCTTCTCTCGTTTTCTTTCTTTTTTTCTCACGGCTCGCAGATCTCGGTCTCCACGACGAACTTGTTCTCGAAATGGCGGATCTTGTGGCAGTTCAGAGCCTCGCGCTTCTGCATGCCTGTAGAAGAGAAGAGCAGCTCTTTAGTGGTTCCTGAGGATAGTATGTGTGTCAGTATCAGTTAAGGCTGCGATACACGAAAATCACACCTGTGAATCAATGGATTTGACAAGATTAGCAAAAATAGTTGGCTTTTTGAACGTGTCGTAGGCCTTTCAAGATTACTGCTTTCAGACACATCATGGGTTATGAAAGGAGCTAAAGTTCTAACTTCTGAATGATGTTATAACATGTTTAAACTCCAGTAGTGAGTAATGTTTGTTTACTTTAGCTAATATGTATTCGACATCATGTTTCAGCGGGAATTCAGTCAGAAGAGCATTTGTGAGGTCAGGCAGTGATGTTGGACGAGAAGGCCTGGTAATAAACGACGTTCCAGTTCGTCCCAAAGGCGTTCTGTGGGGTTGAGGTCAGGGCTCTGAGAGGCCACTGGAGTTCCTCCACACCAAACTCATCAAACCATGTCTTTATGGAGCTGCTTTGTTCACAGGGGCTCAGTCATGCTGGAACAGGAAAGGCTCTTCCCAAAACTGCTGCCACAAAACTGGAAGTGCATAATTGTGTAAAATGTCTTTGTGCTGCAGCATCAACATCACCCTTCACTGGAACTGAGGGGCCCAAACCCTGAAAAACAGCCCAGCCCATCATCCCTCCTCCACCAAACTCTACTGTTGGCTCTGCATTCCGGTAGGTAACATTCTCCTGGCATCCACCAAAGCCAGATTCATCCATCAGATCAGATAGTGAAGCTGATTCATCACTCCAGAGAACACGTTTCCACTGATCCAGAGTCCAGCGGCGGCACTTTACACCACTTTGGCTAACGTCTGGCATTGTGCACAGGCTTTGTGCAGTTGCTCGGCCATGGAAACACATTTCAACCTCATTTCTCTAAGCTGGTTCTTGAAAAGCGCTACGTAAACACTACGTATTTTTATTATTAAACCTTGTGAGTCTTGGGTTATTTTAACATTCAACAATATTATAACATTCTCCAAAAAAACACACAAATCACATAAAATCAGATTTGCGTTCGCATTGAACCCATTCTGGTTTAATTACCATTAAATTCCTGGGTAAAGGTCCATGTGATAAAGGGCCTTACGTGTATGTGTGCATGCTTACCCAGTATGGTGTCTCGGCGGTGCAGTCTGTAGGTGTCTTTGCCTCTGCAAAGTTTGCTGATGAAGAAGCCCAGCTGGTCCATGTCATCCAATTTCTCAGTCACCATCATCTGCTCATGCACCAGGTATGTCTGTGGCAGGTAGGTACCAGCCTGGAAACACACACGTAGGTACATGTTTACATGAGAGCAAGCTTAAATCTCTCTCTCTCTCCAACATGTTCCATCAGGTATTTAACCAACACACACCACAGTTCAGAAGGTTTTTTTCAACAACTGTTGCTGAACGTCAGTGACGAAAATAGGAAAAAAATCTGTTGTGGGTCTGAGAGAGGGTCAAACAAGACAAACGTGATTAATCATGATTAGCTACACAAAATAATGTAATTTAGGCCTCGACACAGCGTCACGTAGCATCACACAGCACAGGGTTTCTCAACGATTGGGCCGGAAAGCATCCTCTGTTGGTCCTCTGGTCTATACTGAGTCAGTGGTCCATAGTGGGCTATTAATGGTACTTTGCAACAAATCAGTGAAAAAAATATTAATGCAAGTGATGCAACAAATTTTTAAATAAAAAAAGTTTTTGTTTTCCTGTGGACCTTGAGGTGGAAAAGGTTGAGAACCCCTGACATAACAGATACTAAACACTGCTGTACTACACAGAATACACTGCAGTATGAGTGCCTATACACTGTACTCGTGTAATTGTAATGAAATAAAACTTTCAATACAATTTATCAGGTTTGCCATTAGTTTACTTATTTACTTACTTCACAAAGTCACTGTTTTAGTGCTGAAAGATGCAAGATGGAAAACAAAAGACTAGGCTACTAACATTAGCTGAGGTGACATACAATCAGCACGTCGCTGTTGTCGGAAGAAAACCCTGTGTCTCCACAATGGTAACTTTGCAGGAAAAGGAAAAAACCTATTTTACTTTTAATGTAAGTCAATGGAACCAGACGTTTTTCCAAGTAATTCTGAACCATTTATTTTGGTCCATTCATCATGAAATTTACAAACAATGTAAAAGGCAAGAGGCTTTTTCAAATTATGTCAAAAACTGAAAAATGACAGAAATGGAGATCCAAGGTTTTCTTCCAACAGCAGCGATTTGTCTGTTTACAAAAGACTGACTGCCTTTCTCTGTAACTTTCAAGCAACATGGGATCTACTGTGGCTTTCTATGTACGTTTTGGGGATTTGGAGACCTCTCTGGTGGAAATGTGTAATTGCATGCAACATGCAAATGAAAATTGTAACCCTGGCTGTTCTTCGGACCCCTTCCATGAGCCTTGCCTTGCCTGATGACTGCGGATGTATTGAAAGAGAATTCAAAGGAGAACTCAGTCAAAACTTGGTGAAGGACGCGTCCTCTGAGGATGTGAGGAACTTATCTATTATGGTCATCATATCTTCATCAGTATAATGCTGATTTTGCACCCCAGACCTTAACATCGAGCCGGAACTTCGTGAGTAACATGTAAAGTCCAGAGAAATCTGACCCAACACCTCTGACTTTTAAATTATATTTCAGGCTTTTTATTTCAGGCTTTTTATTTCAGTGACGACTCACAGCAGCGACACTTTCAGCGTGTTTTTGTTTCTTGACTATGACTATTAACAGGCGCATAACAGAAGCGCTAACAGTAAAGCTAAAGTAGTCGACTGATCAGTCACCTTAATGTTGATGAGCAGATCCACCAGGTCTCGGGGGGGCATGACCACAGACGTGTTGAGAGTGATCACGTAGCACTTGTCCAGGCTCAGGTCCAGATATGCTGTCAGCCCCTGAGAACCAACACAAATTCAGTGAGAATAATACAACACAGATACACACACCATGTCTGACACTAACCTGGGCTCTGGCTGTGGTCAGCGACTGATTTTAATAGCAATTCAGACTTTCCACCAGTCAGCCAGAAGAGCCCCCACAGTTACAACATGAAAAATCGGAGTTACATGTCTTTTTTTTACTCTGCGGTAAAGATGAATCAGTTCTCGGTGGCTGCAGAAGCCACTTTATACCAAAATCAAAAAAGTGAACGTTTTAAAAGTGGATCTTCAGAAAAGGTCAGAAAATAATCTGTCCAGTGAAGACTCCTTTACTGAATACGTAAGAAAAGTGGGTGTGCATACCAAGCACTGCTTATGCAGTCCCATTTTTATGCCAATTCGTAAAGATGCATCTCTTAAGAAGCTAACGGCTTGTGAGATGGTGAAGAACTGAAAGACTGCTTAGCACAAAGAAGTGACAACTTTTCCTACCCTGTTAGAAATAAAGGTTCTGTTCAGGTACACTTTTCATTCATCAAGGTACAAACAGTGTAAATGTTCCCTCAAAGCTCCAACAGTGGTTTTAAGGTCTGATTGTGAACCTTAAATAAGTGTTTCCAGGTGAAAAGTTCGCATTTGTACCTTTTCATAACCGAATGTTTTAAACAGAACAGTAAAATAAAAGCCTGGAGACGAGACGGGGTGTGTGGAGTCAGTACAGCTTAGAACATATCATTTCAGTGGATTATGGTTCAGTTATGTTCTCTGACTAAAGGTACTGAGATAGACCCTTGAGGGTCCCACCCCAGTGACAAGAGGGGTCCTGACCCAGAGGCAGTTTAGTACCTTTATTTCTAACTAGCTGTCATGTATTCTAGGTAATAAACAAAACAGACCAACTAACAATCCAGAGTAGCAGGAAACTTCTATGGAAAGAACCTGGAGGTGCGACAAACAGTGTCGCCTGGAACTGGGGTCTCGCATACTGCGTCAAATTTCCACTGCAAAGTCTGCTTCGCCCAGCTGGCGAGTGCACTCTTCTGGTGGTGAGTTAGCATCTGTATAAATGTTTTCCCACAGTACTGCATAGTTTCGTAAAAGAGGTGCACGTGTGGGTTTTTCATCTTGTAATATTTCAGTTATGGAGTATTATCGAATATTTGTTGCAGCCCTAGATGACACCACTCAGGCATCAAATAAAGTGATAAGGGGGGACAAAATGCAAACAGCAAAAAACAAGTTCTTGAATCTCCACTGTGTTACTGTAAATGTGTGGGGGTGGAGAATGCGGGTGTGATGTTTCATTCAGAAAATTAATAAACGAGAATCGATGAAACTCATTAAAACTATCACTCCTCAAGTTAAAAAAATTAGCATGAATAATGTTGAAAAGTTGTCATTAATAAAAGTTGAGCCTGCATTTCCTGAGGGCTAAGCTGACAAAGCCTGTTTTGACTGGACAGTTTCTTTCAGTTTCCCATTAGACAGTATTGTAAACGTTTACCAGACAAATCGCACTGTTTAATTCACTTTTATGGATTTAAAACTGTTCTTTCAAAACAATCTGAAGCTTCCAGAAAATGACACACACTGCAGTTCACTTTACTGGTCAATAACACAAAAGCAAGGCAACAGTAACGCTGCTGTTTTATGAAATAAACCCTGTAAAATCCCAGGCTTATTATTCAGTAACTACAGGGACTTCAATGTAAACTGGCTGAGCTATTCTTAGATTACAGAAGTGTGTAATAAAACGTTGGGCCTGCTGGTGGGCCCTGGCCATTTTAGGGGTTAAAGTTTATGACGTATTTTATGTTGAATTAGGTATATGTAGTTCTCAAATCACTTTTAACACAGTGATTATCTCAAGTCAAAGATCGTTTACTCTTCATTTATCATCCATATTTGATTACATCACTGTATCGTCCAGCTGTAACGTGTGACGTGCTCGTTTCTCACCTTGTTGAAGTCGTGGACGATGTCGGCCGGGTCGCTGTCGCCGAATTCAGGCACGGGGACGTGGATAAGCGTCATCTCGTCATCCTCCATCACGCGCACCGTCTCCTGAATGCTGCGAAGACTGACGGCAGGCTCCTCCGGCATCCCATCGTCCTCCTCGTTGTAGTCTGCAACCCTGTAGTCGTCCTCGCGGTACCTCACCCCGCACACGAACACCTGCCCCTCCTACACACACACAGACTGGGGTTTAATCTCTGACCGCACAACGTTCACCTGAAACTGTCCAGGAAATGATTCAGTGTTTCAGGAAACCTCAGACTTCACCACGATTCGATTCAATCAGCGCTTATTTTCAAAGTAGTTATGTAATGTTTTTTTTTTTCTCCTGGGATGAAATATTTTTTTTTCTTCAGTAACGTTGATGGAATATATTTCAGAGGTGATTTTCAGAGTTGGGTTTTCGTTTTCACAGGTGAGCAAGCAAGACTGTAGTTTTACTGTGACCGTTGTGACCTCATTGCTCACTAGCAGCTCAATGACTGCGTTTACATGCAAAGATCTTTGCCAATCTGATTACAATCCGATTATAGATCAAGACTGAGGTGTTTATTCTCACTCTACTCAACAATCTGATGGAAAATCTCTGTTTACATGAACACTGCAAGTAATTAGATCCAAAATTATACGCATAGAGAACCACTTAGTGTAGACGTTACCATGACAACCAGCATCAAGCGAGTCCAGTCAGAGTGAGATGAGCAGCAGTGAGCAGCGCTTGTGTTTTTAATGCCTTTAAAATGATGCCAGACTCAGAAAAACGTCCTTCACACGTCCTTATTAAAGAAGGCCGAGAGGAAGACGTCGTGTTCTGAGACACATAAGCTGGACGTCCGTCCCGCCGCCGTCTTTTAAAGATCAGAGCATAAACTTCGTCTCCTCTGCAGACCAGTTTCTGCTCCGCCATGTTGAACGGTATAAACTTTCACTATGATGCAACGAACATGATCAGAACGGACTTAAACTTTCCGATAGGGAATGTAATCGGATACAGGTGTTTACACGGATATTATTCTTCTATTTTACGGATTATTTACAGGATTACCCACCTCGATCAGTCGGATGGACACTGTATTCTGAATGGCCTCAATCAGACTAGACTATTCCGACTGAGGTGTTTACATGGACATATTCTATTCCGATTGAGCTATTAGTCGGATTATTAACGAATTATCAGGCTTCATGTAAGCATGGGTAATGCAGAGTCACATTTCAGAGAGCAAGCAGTGTCCTAGTTCATCTGATAATAGATTTACAGGCTTTGATTATATTAACGAAAACAACGTTGTTGGTTTACATTTCACCAGCAGATGGTCACTAAGGGTCCTGCAGAAAGAGGTCAAACTGGACCTACACCTGTTACCACAGTAACAGCCCCCAATCACAGTAAAATCTCTACACTCTTAAAAAAGATGGTTCTTCAAGGGCTCTTTGTAAAAAAATGGTTCTATATGGAACCATGAACACTCAAAGAACCCTCTGCATGATTAAAGGGTTCTTTGCATCATGAAGGTTCTTCAGACTGATCGAGAATGTGCTATAGATGGTTCTATATAGCACAAAAAAGGGTTCTTCCACTGTTATGATGTCAAGTTTGTAACAAGAGAAGAACTCTTTTGGGTGCTACACAGAACTACTCATCTTGAATGAAGCAATATTATTTGTCAATACAGTGAGACACTTTAACCTTCCCCACATAGTTACCTGAATAAGAGGACTGTATTACTGTGCTGCCTATATAGACATTAAAAACAATACAGCCAGCTTTTATTGGATTTTTATGCTTTTACACCTGAGAATTTATTTTGGCCACCTTTGAGTCCAAAATCAAAACAGTCCAATATTAAAACCACCTTCACACAGAGGCATTCTCAGTCCTCACACAAGCATATGATCACATTATCACATAACAGGCACATTCTGATATTTTTGGGCTTCAGAGTGTTTGAGAAAGCCCAAAAACAGCCCAACGTTCAACAGTGAGAAAACTCCTGTTGATAGACTTCAGTGGGAGTGACCAGCACACCTGTGTTGGATGTTCAGGTAAAGCCTGTTTATGAGGCATTTCTAACATCCATAATGCAGCCTAACAGCAGCCTCTTCCTTCGTACGTCAGTACATAAAGAGAAAGTGCGCTGAACAATACATTTATAGTAAGCTGTACGTTTTTAGAAAATTAACAAATCTTCAATTAATATTTTAAATAAAAACAAATGATGAGCCCAACACTTATGCTGCATTTACATGTTGACTTAAAACCGGATATTCCACTGTTTCCAATGGAGCCTTGAAGGAAAATTTTGCCACCACCAACAACAAAGGGAGTTCACTTTGCCCAACTTCTGCTGTCGACCACAGCTGTGAAATAAACCAGATGTTGGTTGATTGGGGGATATAGGAAGCCAAATGCCTCATGTTGAATTCCAGACAAATCCAGTGTTATATATACATAAAAAAGAGAGTGCAGAGCGTCCTCTGAACAATCTACACTGATAAAGCTCTCCTCTGATTATCATGCATATTTGCTGGTAACACTGTCACCATGCCAACACTGGGGTGGCTTCATGCCACACTCAGAGTCAGTCTAATGCCTCTATGATGGCATGATAAGTTAACACTCTGTTACCTCATGTTGACATGTTTCCTGTTTCAATGGTGAAGCTTTAGCATGAAAAACCACTGTAATGTTTTCCTCGTAATCTATTTTAACCAGAACTGCTAAATAAAAGCAACAAACCATTCAGAACAGCTACAACAGAGAAGTTTTACTTCTCACCTTGACTTTGGGCCTCATTCAGCAACCATTAGAAGAAATTTCTTCTTGAAAACCACTTGCGCGTTTTTTACGAAGATTCTTTAAGAACATTCACCAGTGTTTTCTTATTTGGGATTTGTTCTTAGGTAAGAACAGAATTTGCACACACTCAAGAGCACAAAGGTGTGAACAGTTCTGCGGTTTAAGAACACGTCATGAATCTGATGTAGACGTTTTCTAAGGGACTTTTCTCAAGAACACAGTTAAGAACAAACGCTGAAGCCCATTGTTCTCAGTAATGTACCGTAAGCTTGTAAACATCAGCAATGTTGGCTTATAAAAGCGCCACGTTTAACGATCAAGTCTGAAAACACCTGGTAGACCACTACAATCTTTCAAAATGCAATGCTAGATAAAAATAACACATTATAAACTAAGACAAAGAGATTTTTTTGCTGCTGTCGGAACAAAACCTCATATCTCCAAAATGCTGACTTTACAGGAGAAGGAAAAAACATACTTTACTTTCAATGAAAGTCAAAGGAACCAGACGTCTTTACAAGTCATTTTGGGCCGTTTGTTTTAGTCTATTCGTCATGAAATTTACACACAACGTAAAGGGCAACTGGCTTTTTCAAAATATTTCAAAAAATTAAAAACGTCAGAAAATGGAGTGACAAGGTTTTGCTCCGACATCAGCCATACATAGTACCGGAAAGGTTCTCTGGTGAGTAACAACAGCAGAAACCTTTTTTTAGTTTGGTTTTTGTTTAAGGGTTATTTAAAGAACCATATACAAAAGGTTTTCTATCACAGAAACAAACTATTTAGCCATGCAACAAACCTTTTAAACATTCAAAGGGTGCTTTGAGTTGTGGCTCTAAACCATCACCTATACTAAAGAACCCCTTTTTTACAGGCACATACACTGAGGCACTACTCAAACTTCGAACTCAGGGAGATCCAGCAGCAACTCTGACTGTCAGCTGGTTCTTCCAGTGTGGCTCTGAGTGATTAAACACATTAAGGTGGAACTCAAGAGCGTCAAATAAAGTTATTGCATCAGCTCAGGCAGGTCGAGACAACGAGACGCTCCGCCTCCAACAGAGACTGCTGCAAACTCTACTTCCTCACTTTGTCTTTATGTTGCCATAGCAGCAGTAGTGATCTCACCTTCAGCACGTAGTACCTGTACAGGTAAGCTCCTCCCACGACCACACCTGAGAGCATGAGGGCCAGTCCCAGGCAGAAGCACCAGCACCAAGCCCTTGACTGGCGGACCACAAACTCTGGCGCCTCGGGGTCCTACAGACACAAAGAACACGAAGAACAGGGAGTTACGCTGAGCTGCATTAGTACTGCTGATACTGTGTAGCAACTCAACAGCTATGAAAGCTTTAGAAGAACCATGGCAGAGAACCTTTGGGAACCGAAATGAAGTAGTGCTGGCAGGTACAGAGGATGTTAGATAGATAGATAGATAGATAGATAGACAAATAGACAGACAGACAGACAGATAGACAGACAGATAGAAAAACAGAAAAACAGACAGAAAGATAGACAGAGAAATAGTCAGACAGACAGAAAGAAGGAAAGAAAGAAAGAAAGAAAAGAAAGAAACTGATGGACAGAAAGTTAGACAGACAAATAGATTGAAAGAGACAGATACAGAAAGATAGAAGAAGACAGACAGAAAGACAGACAGACAGACACAGAAAGACAGAAGAAGACAGACAGAAAGACAGACAGACAGACAAATTAATAAGACAGAGACAGATACATAAAAAGACAGAAAAAAGACAGAGACAGATAGACAGGATGAATGAAACGATAGAAAGACACAGACAGGCAGAAAGACAGATAGACAGAAAGACAGAAAAAAGACAGACAGACAGACAGTAGAAAGACAGTCAGACAGACATACAGACAGACAGAAAGACAAAAAAACAGACAGAAAGACAGACAGACAGATAGATAGATAGATAGATAGATAGATAGATAGATAGATAGATAGAAAGACAGAAAAAAGACAGACAGACAAGACAGGTAGAAAGACAGTCAGTCAGACAGACAGACAGACAGACAGATAGACAGAAAAAAGACAGACAGACAGGCAGACAGATAGACAGAAAGACAAAAAGGACAGACAGACAGGTAGAAAGACAGTCAGACAGACACAGACAGACAGATATATAGAAAAACAGGAAAAAAAAGACACAGACAGACAGACAGGTAGATAGACATGCAGACAGACAGGCAGACAGATTACGTCATTAATCCCAGAGGGAAAGTCGTCTATTACAGAGCGCAAAGTTCATTAAAGACCAAAACAACAGCAAAAGTATTGCTGAGCGCATAAACAGAAGTACAGATATAATAAAATACACTAAAATAACAACCATTAAATATAATGTTCAGTACAAAAACACGCAGTAAAATCACATTATTGTCCACACATAATATCTTATAATATTTTCCAAATGTGTCGATATTTGAGTGAGCGTTAATAAAGTTTAACCCCTTAAACGGCCGAAGTCCACCAGCCCGACGTCTTATTACACACTTCAATAACCTAAGAATAGCCAGTTTGCCCTGTAGTTACTGAATAAAAAGGCTTAGTAAGTAATCAGCCAGAGATTTTAGGGGGTTAATGACCCCAGAGGTCTTCAATACTGCTTCTCTCAGCTCCCAGAAAAATCTCTCAATAGTCATTTTTTGTTTGGACTGTTTTGTTCTGCTTTCTTCTTTTATAAAACTGAACCTTAGAAAGTATTGGAAACGTTAACCACACAGAAAACACAGTTCCAGAATGGGAACCTACCGTTTACTCAGTTTCACGTATTCTGAGCTGACGTTTCAAAACTTCTTTTTTTGAGTGTCAAAGTGAAAATATGTTATTATCGACATGGAACTAACATATGGAACTATATGGAATTCTTCTGCACATTTTAGGGCACAATTTCTGTCTATTGGCTGAGTTTAACATTGGAAATGAATAAAACATAAAATATAAGCTGTGCTATGGCTTTTGCACCAGCCATTTTATGTTTTAACACTTTTTTCCCCCTAAATATGTGAAACCCAGCAAATAAACATTAACTGTGCATTGAAATGTGTAGCTATAGAGGATGTGATAACTTATTTTCACTTAGAATATCACTAAAAATGTCATTTGACCATATATTTTACCATATACGCACAGTGCTTTTGGAACCAAACTATGTATCTCCATGTTTGACCATGTTCAGTTTTTGACACGATCTGAAAATGCCTGTTGCCCTTTATGTTGTGTGTAAATTTCGTGATGAATGGATCAAAAGAAACGGCCCAAAATGACTTGGAAGAAATTCTGGTTCCATTGACTGTATAGTAAAGTATAGTGTGTTTTTTCCTTCTCCTGTAAAGTTACCATTTTGGGGATACAAGGTTTTGCTCTGACAGCATCAGTTATATAAATTATTACTGCTGGTTGATGCTATTTGTGTTCCACTTATGCAAACTGTCTCAACCACATGCAAACACAGAATATAAAAAGACAGGGCAGAAACGAAACCTTTGTGGACACACAGGCAGATTCAAGCTTCTAAAAAGGAAACAAAAAGTGCTCAGCAAAAAACAAAACATTATCTGTGTGTGTCAGATCTGCCCTGAACAGATCTGTCCTCCCTGATGAGTATGCAGAACAGCATCTCTACACAGGAAAGATGACATGTCTGAATAGAGCCTGGCCTCCAAACCAACACAGTCAACCCCCTCTCGCTCTGCAGAAGCCTTCATGCTAGCAGACTAAGGCCCAGTCCCATTTCTTATTTTTACCCCTACCCCTTGTTTTCGCGTGTCACCCTAACCCCTTGGAACTGAGTTACAGGGTAGTGGTTGAAATCTTCCCTCTGAAATGGGACCCTCAGATAAAAAGAACATCACTTCATTAACAGCTACCAGCGCTGCTCTGTAGGCGACCCTGCCAGTCTGCAGTGACAGCAGAGGAGGGTAAAGTTCAGCTCCTCACTGCTGGGCTTTAGTTACATTTAGGGCATCATATGCCTTCAAAGAGGGGGGCAATTATTTATTATCACCCACCCCTAATTCTTCAGTGATATGAAGCTGAAGTCAGATATTCACCAGCTTCTTGTTCGAATTTCCCGTTCCACCTTAAATGGTGCAGCAGTTCTGTCCGTCATGTAGTCCTAACACTTCGCCCCACCCCTCTATCTCAACAAGAATCAGCACATTCTTCCTCCAGGCATGAACGCACAAAACGGAGGGGTGGGGCTAAGTGGTAGGGGCGAGGGGTGAAAAGGGATTGGGCACAAAAAACAGCAGCACAAATGAAGGCTTCGTTCGCGATGACACGCACATGACACCTGGGCGAACTCCGCGGACGAAAGCGTACACGACAAAGCCTCTGATTGGTCGGTAAAAACGAGGCGTGCCATGAAACAAAGATGGACGACTTTGAGGAGCTTCGTTTTGCGAGAAGTATGCTGAGCGCTTTGGCAGAGACGCAGATATTTCACTGCGAAACACGCATTTGTTAAATAAACAATGAAACCTTCTAAACCTCCGAGATGTTTGATATTTGGTAGTATTAACTCGTACTAAGCACCAAACATACAAGTTATCCTATATTTAGGTTCACAAGAGGTTGAGGCTGAAGTTCGCTCCCTATTCGCCAGCTTCATGTTCGAATTTTCCCATTCCACCTTAAATGGTGGCAGCATTCTGGACTCGCACATCGCCATGGCTAGAACTGTGAGAGAATCGTTTTCCACTAATCAATGTCACAGCATCACCTGCATAAGTTGAGCATCCGCGACACAAACAACACCGCAGAACGTATGCAAGCCTGTAAGCTCGCGAAGGCGCTTTTGGCGTTGCGCAACGCTCACGAGCTTTGTTTCACAGCGTATGCTGAGGCCTTTAGGTGTAACAGGAAATGTCTTGTGTAAATTGTGTCAATTTGGCCAAAACTACGACTTTAATGGAATTTTCTAGACTAGATGTGCAGCCGAGTTACTCTGTGCACAGCACTTCGGCGCAGGGTTCATGTTGTGGTACAGAGTTTATCTGTGGTTTCTGTAACAGCGCTTACAGGCAAGAAGAGGAAACCAAATCAGCTCAGTCAGTCAGCACGAAGATATTCTGAGCACAGACCTCTCACCCGAGCTGAAGCGTGAGAGCGAGGCTGGGTGAACGTCCATTCGACACTTTCACTTCCAATACGTTCAGTCCTTTAACACACTAAGCTAACGCTGCTCCGACATTCGTATAGATTTTAATCAGTGTGATGAACATTAGTCCATATTGTGTATGTTTTAATCACAGTGTGATGAACATTAATCCATACTGTGTATGTTTTAATCACAGTGTGATGAACATTAATCCATACTGTGTATGTTTTAATCACAGTGTGATGAACATTAATCCATATTGTGTATGTTTTAATCACAGTGTGAACATTAATCCATATCGTGTATGTTTTAATCAGTGTGATGAACATTAATCCATATTGTGTATGTTTTAATCACAGTGTGATGAACGTTAGTCCATATTGTGTATGTTCTAATCACAGTGTGATGAACATTAGTCCATATTGTGTATGTTCTAATCACAGTGTGATGAACATTAATCCATATTGTGTATGTTCTAATCACAGTGTGATGAACATTAGTCCATATTGTGTATGTTCTAATCACAGTGTGATGAACATTAATCCATATTGTGTATGTTCTAATCACAGTGTGATGAACATTAATCCATATTGTGTATGTTCTAATCACAGTGTGATGAACATTAGTCCATATTGTGTATGTTCTAATCACAGTGTGATGAACATTAGTCCATATTGTGTTCTAATCACAGTGTGATGAACATTAATCCATATTGTGTATGTTTTAATCACAGTGTGATGAACATTAGTCCATATTGTGTTCTAATCAGTGTGATGAACATTAGTCCATATTGTGTTCTAATCAGTGTGATGAACATTAGTCCATATTGTGTTCTAATCACAGTGTGATGAACATTAGTCCATATTGTGTTCTAATCACAGTGTGATGAACATTAGTCCATATTGTGTTCTAATCACAGTGTGATGAACATTAGTCCATATTGTGTATGTTCTAATCACAGTGTGATGAGTATTAATCCATATTGTTTAATTGCAGTGTGATGCGACAGCAGTACATCTGCATTTATAGTTTCATTTTCACGGAGAACATTTTATCAAACTTTTAATCATCCTTCCCTGATATCAACACATTTCAAAAAGCTGGCACTTATTACCCTCCTGAACATGCTCTGTG